CTGACTCTTCCATCCACGGTGCTCATTTCAAGCCCCCATCTTAAAATGTGCGCAACGCATTCTTCACCATCTGTTTGCTCTGGGCATGTGAAATGACGTAGTTGTGTGTAAACGAGTTTTACATACATGGTTTCGTTCTTGTAAGAGTATGATCATCACGGAATATTTTTATTTGACTGTGGTTTCCTCAAATCGTGGACCCCACTGTTGTCTTTCAAATGCTGAAGAAAATAAATGCCTCTCCCTGAATAGGCACTTCATTTTTTTTTTTTTTACCCTTGCGTGAGCCAAAACAGACAATAAAACGTTCACATCTGAGTCCATTTGAACATCACCGCTAACCTAAACAGCAGCACCAGCCCAACTCGGGAACGACCTCCAAGCGGTGCTGGGCGTGCCTTCGGGCTACGAACAGTTCCCAGTCTACAGCCGACAACTGGGTCTGCAGGTACCCGGGTCTTTGCGGCTTTAGGAGCCGCTTTGGGGCCCAGTTGGAGGTTGCTCAAGAACAACAGCAGCACCAATGCACATAAAGCGTGTCAAGAACAAAAACAGGAAGTGTTAGGACTTCAGATCATACACTTGACTGTTCACATACTGACATGTAAGCTCCTGCAACATAAGATAGAATAAATGTCTTCTAAATTCAATACATCAGAGCAGAGCGTTAACAGTCCTGCCCAATTTGAATGATCCAAAAAGTTTCGCTTAACATGTATTGTTTATCATTATTTCTAAATTTGTGTTCAGTGGAATACCCCCCCCCCACACACACACACACACACTTTTGCAGATGAGTAAATAAATGACCACAACTGACATGAGGATGCCTGCATGTGACTGAAACGAGTAGTGGCGTTAGAATGAAATGGAAAACCGAGACAGCTGTTCATTCTTTGCCTCACTGTTTAATCGCTGCGCGTGTATGTGTTGATTGTTGTCTTAAATGCACTACAAATAGCCTCAGTATTTATTAACGCTTCCGTTACAGAGCCAATAAGGAGGCAAGCTGTTTCTCCCTTTAGTATTACGAGAGAAAAAAAAAAAAAATCAATTTTCACGGCTTCGCTTTCTTGAGAGGTTCTCTCATTTATTCAATACAAGTACAATACACACCACAAGCATTTGTACGGAAGCGCGCAACTGCCAATGTGGAGTATGACTGGCTAACTCGTATTTGCAAAGAACGTTCGAACATTGTTGAAATGTCGGCTCACTGTTAAAAACAGCATTTTTTTTTTTCCCCATAAAGTGACGGGGTATTGATTTGCACCTGCGGAATTGTAAAAAAAATGCTATGTTTTTAGCATTTAGCCTACATTATACCAATGCGCTCGAAAATTACGGAAGTAATCATTGACCATTAGTCATTTCTATGGTTTTAATTTTATGTCTGCAGTGTAGGAATTTGCGTTTGGCATTTTTTTTTTTTTTTTGCTATCATGTTTTTAGCTTTTATTCTACATTTTATCGATACGGCCGATTGTACTTTATACGATTACATTTGAATGTGTACTGTATCAACATGTACCACGGGTAAGTCTAAACAAACACATGATTTACCGAAGGGCTTACTCCAACCCTCACTCCCCTCACAAACAGACACGGGGTGCAGTTGCAGCACAAACACTCCTGGCTGCTTGTGAACTTTTTCATGTTTTTGAACCTAAATAAAAAAATTGCTGAGGGGGCTGAACAGGGGCGAGACAGATTTCTGACAGGGGTATAGCACGCGCTAGCCCTGGTGTTGCACCGTCATGGGGCCGAGAGAAAGGACAGAGGCATTCACATAATGTTGTTAGACTACGTTTTGACCAGTACCTTGATAAACTACCGGTAGAATGTAGTTAGCTCCCGCTAAGATAGGCTGCTGTAATTTTATTACTATAATTAATTGAAACAAATGCAGGGTCAGATCTTTTTCCCCCCTCACAGGCACCAAGTTTCATTCATGGTTTTTCATAGCATAACTTCCAGTGCCGCCATCAACTCCATGTGTTCCTTTATACCAGCTGAACTGAATTGTTTTGTATTATGTAAACTGAAATGGAGGAAGAAGTGCCCGTCACCAGCACAAGAGCTGCTGGCATTCTGCGTTGTTACCACGTCCGAGGCTGTATTAATAGATGTGCTCGGTGAAAATCTCTGAACACGTTCCACCCTATGGCTTTGTTTGCTCATTCATCAATCTGTCCTGTCATCTCTCCTGACTTGAGATGCTTGTCATTTTTTTGAACATGCACAATTTGAAATGATAAAAATAAACGCATGTGGGCTGAACATTTGCTGGCCTGGAATCTCCCACGACGCTGCTGTCCACTGTCAAGCTAGCGGTGGCTAGCGCTAGCTGCTAATAGAGTGCCTTCGAAGGAGCGGGGTGTTTTGGGCACAATAATACGGCAATAGCTGCGAATAGGGTCTTCCTGCAAATAGTTTTTAGGTTCCACAGAATAAAATGTTTGACCGTGTGAATGGTGAACCAATAGGCGACGCTTCATCATAGTACACTA